CCTCGGAGCCCCAGAAAGAGGCTGTCAGCCCCAGAAAGAGGCTGGCGGGGGTTGCAGGACCAGGGAAGTAGAGGGAGATGAGGGCAGGGCCAGGACCAGAAGCGGTGCTCCTGGGGCCCATGGAAGGCACTGTCCTGGTCTGGGTGAGAAGGGTCAGGAAGCAGTATTGGTTCCCCAGGTGTCTGGGGCCCCAAGACTAGGAATGGCACAGGGCCCAAACTAGGAGTATAGAACAGCGGGGGGGATCGAAGGGTGAATGCTTGGGCCTTTTTTAAAAAACATTTTTTTATTCTTTAAGAATTTCATAAAATATATTTTAGTGAAGAAAGAAACCATGTTAATTGCTTAGATTGCGGTAGAAGAAATGACAACACATCTAGTTTACACTGCTTGATTGACTTTAAGATTCTAGAATTAGGCAACAGTCTACCCCCCAAATGGTTCTCAAAACTCTGATCCACCACATGAGGAGGTTATAGTAATAGCCAGAGAAGAGAATGTGATATTCAGAAAATGGAAGAGAGAGAGAGAGAGAGAGAGAGAGAGAGAGATTATAGCACTGTCTCAGTTGAATATGTTTTTTTAATTTTTATTTAAAAATATTTTGTGAGCATTGCTTTCTTTAAAAAGTAACATGGTTACATTGAAAGACTTTGTATAGGTTGGAGAACTTGGAAAGGGAGTGAATGGAAAACTCACATTATAGGAACAGTGACAAATTTCACATTATTGTTGAACCTTGGTAATATAGTTTTGTCAGAAAAAATATTAAAAATTAAAATAGAATTTTGAATTTATATTCTAAGATATAATTACATACTTTTGGTTTGAGAATTATATCAGTTTAGTTATTACAGTACTTTCTATTTCTTTTTTTAATTTTCTAGACTGTGATTTTTATCTCTAGAAGTTCAGCTAGGGCACAGTTGAAGGCATACAGGGGCTATAGAAGAGAAAGAGAAAAATAACAGAAAATCTCTTGATTGGACCCTCCGGAGTGACGTAAGGTAGGTCGGACCTTGTTTCCTAGTAAAAACTCTCAGCTACCTGCTGGTGAAATCTGAACCTCTCACAAAGGCTCCAAGGGCTGAGCTGACCGGTCTCTACTCGGTTTCTGTGACTTCTTCCCCTGCCCTTTGTCATCCATCCTGACCCGTGCTCCAAATCACCTTCTTGGTTCATGACCCTATGCATTTCCTCATGCTATGCCCTCTTCCAGGCCTTGTTTCTCTCTCTTATCCACTGGGCAAACCCTGATGATAAAGGTTTCTTTCAATATCTGTCTCTCAATAGTTATTTGGTACACATCTCTAATCCCAGTACTCTGTAGCTGAGGCAGAAGTGTCAAGAGTTCAAGGCTAGCCACAACTGTTTAGTAAGACTATGTCTCAAAAACAAGGTCAGTTCCTCCTGAGAACTTGCTCAGCTCCTCAGCCTAACCAGGGTGGGACGAAAAACTCACTGCCAGCTGGCTGGCTTTTAATCACCTTCCAAACACATAAACGGACTCAGCCTTTGTATTGAAATACACTGCTCTGAAAAGGTAGTTTTATGCCATTACTATCATTGAAATAGGTATTTGTTATTTATTTTGTATCATCCAGTTCAAATCAAACTCACCATAAACATGTAAAAAAGCTAAATTTCCTAAAAGTAAAACTTGGGATTTTTTTTCCCTTAAATAATTAACAAATGTTCACGTTAATCAGAAGAGTTTGATTTATATCTTTATTTTGAAAAATCAAAGTAAGATTGTTTCAGAACTAATTTCCCTGATGTTTGCAACATCTAACCTACCAAGTGTGCACTCATTTTGAGAACCAAGAAGGAATACCACGCTGCTGGTTGGCAACTCCTGTTAAATCACGCAAGATTTCAATGCAATGCATCCCACTGTGCAGTGAACAGTGGGGTGGTTGAGAAAGGCTTCCTTGAAAGCAGATCAGTTTAGTTCCCTTCCTTGGGAAGCTCTCTGCCTTGGTGCCCATGTTTGGTGACCAGTGCCAATTTTCCTCTTCTTTGCCAGCCACTCCACGTTGGCCCACTGGGCACTTTGATCCCAGTTTTGAGGACCATTCCAGGAGGTTATCCAACCTCGTCTTCCCCGGTTTCCCCAAAACCAAGCATTTTCTACAGAGCCAGTGATTTCCGTTTGCAACTGACTTGAGTTCTATTCCTGTATGACATAAGATGTTTATGTCACGTGAGGACCAAGAGGCTGAAGACGAAGAACCTCGTAGAGCTTGAAGCTGTCCTGGCTTTGGGCCATGAGATGGGAAACTCAGACAGCTGAGACCCCTGTATGTCTCATAGCTCCAACCTGACAGCGTTGTAATTGGACATTGTTTCTTTGGGGGCATATCCAGAGTATGTCTGCTTTCCTTTCTGCTTCTGTCCCGACTCTGTCTTCCTGCACTTCCACCCAACACGATGGCAACACACATCTCCCCTCTTTTCCCATTCCTGTTTCAAACCCAGAAGATGAGACAGAGGGCTCCCATTGATGAAAGAGGAGTGATAAACATATTTTTATTATCACATTAAGTCATACTGAGGGACATTACACTGGAACAAGAGTCTGAGACCAAGTAACTCCCAAGGGAGAGACTCCCACTGTGGGTTGTTCTTGACTGACTGAGCCCAGGAGGGCCACAGAGGAGGATGTGAGCTGTGATTCCAAGTCTGCCACAGGGTCACCAAGGGACAAAGTCCTTCTCCCTTTTGGGGAAGCACCCGTCTCTTTGCTGATACATTCATTCCTTCATCACTTAATTGGGGATCAAGTTGACCATGATGCAGAGAGGCAGCTTAGACAAGTTCACCTTGGGGACAGAGCTACACAAGACCATGGGTCTCAGGAAAAACAATTATACCTTTCTGATCACTTTTGTGGCATCCAACTTAGTGTTTAGTTCTTGAAAGTTTTATGGAGAATCTAGAGATATTTACACTTGACAGAGTATAACACACCTCCAGCTATCTCTCACCTTATCCCACCCACACATTTACTTCTAACTTTGCAAATAGCACACAACACACTCATTGTAGACATTCTTCTCAAAAAGTTGGAATGAGGCTCAAAATCTTCCATAACCACTTCCCTAATGCCTCATGGCTTTCAGTGGTGACAGCCAAGGTTAGTTGAATAGATTCCCTTCCTGGTCCTTTTATAGATAAATCCCCACATGCCTATAGAAACATTCTGCCTGGGCAGATGTACACAGTGTGGCTTTGAGTTTGTTCCATCTCTTTGCCTGTGTGCTGTCTGTTGGTTTTACAGTTTATTTTGTGCTGAATCTCCCCACAAGGCTGTCTTCACCAATAACAAAGCAAGCAGTTTCCCAAGACTATGCTCAGTCCTACTCTGTATCAGTTGCTTTCCTTTTGCTGTCGCAGTCTGAAAGGATACAGATCGTCATGGTGGGAAGGCATGGCAGCAGGAGCTTGCGTCTGCTCATAGTGTACGCAGGAAACACAGATGAATACTGCTACTCTGCTGGTTTTCCCCTTTTCGTTCTATTTTAGCTTGCTGATCTGTTGCTGTGATAAACACCGTGACCAAAGCAACCTGGGGAATAAACCATTCTTCCAAGTGCAAGTCCATCACTGAGGGGAGTCAGGACAGAAATTCAAGGCATCGCAGGAACCTGGAGACAAGAACTGAACCAGACACCATGGCAGAATGCTGCTTACTGGCTTACTCCTCCAGCCTGTGCTCAGCCTGCTTTCTTATACAACCTAGCACCACCTACCTAGTGGTGGCATCATCCACAGTGGGCTGGGCATCACTCAGCAGTCAAAAAATGCCACACAGACATGCCCACTGGCCAATCGGATAAAGAAAGTTCCCCAATTGAGGTTCCCTCTTCTCGTGTGTATCCAGTTGACAAACCAAGCCAACCACTCAGTCATGACACATTTAGTCCAGGATCCCAGACAATAGGACCATGCCACCACATTCAAGGTAGTTCTCTCTTCAGTTAAACCCCTCTAGAAACTCAAAGACACACTCAGAAGTGTGTCTGACAGAGGATTCCAAATCCATTCAAGTGGACAATAAAATTAACCATTGCTTCCACCTTAGTACAAGACCAAAGAGAGGGCTGGGGACCCGAAAAGATCCTAGAGAGGTGATGGCTACCTGGATACTCTTTGTTATCTAATAGTGTCTTCTGTCAGGAACATCTTTGTTCAGGGTTCTTGGTGTTCTTGGTTCATGTACAAGTACTTCCTAGGACGATCGGGGGAGGAAGACTCTGGATCAATTTAATTTTTTCTTGACAGGGCCTCCCTAGTCCCAGTCTGCCTAAAAGTCACTATGTGGATCAGGCAGGCCTCGATCTCGCAGAGATCCACCTGCCTCTGCCTTTCAAGGCCTGTGCCACCATGCCCAGCATTGAATCAATTTAATTTTCAATTTTAGTATGCCAGCCAAACTTTCTCAAGCAAATTACTCTTCCCCCTGGAATTAAAAAAAAAAAGTATATAAATTTCTGGGAACAAGGGATAAAGTTCAGTGGTAGAGTACTTGCCTAGCATGAACAAGGTCCCTGTTTCAATCCTTCTCACTGGCAAAAAGATTTTTTAAAAGTTTGTTTTACAAGGCGGGCATGGTGGCGCACGCCCTTAATCCCAGCATTTGGGAGGCAGAGGCAGGTGGATCTCTGTGAGTTCAAGGCCAGCCTGGTCTACATAGTGTGTTCCAGGCCAGCTGGGCTACAGGGAGACCCTGTCTCAAAAAGGCCAAAAAAAAATAAAAAGTTTGCTCTACCACATCATACAATATGTAAATTAATAAACATAAAAATATCAGTTGCAATCTGATGAGTAAAAAAATTCCATTTCTGTTGCATTTTCTTGGTAACTATTGAGTCTGAATTTTATTTTATTTAGTTTTTGCTTTTGGGGCGCGTGTGTGTGTGTGTGTGTGTGTGTGTGTGTGTGTGTGTTTGTTGAGAGATTGAACCTACGACCATGCACATGCCAGGCAAGCTCTCTGTCAACTGAACTCTGTGCCCAGTCCTGAGCATTCTTGTTTCCTTGGGCTAGTCACTGAAATCAGATCATTTGAGGCAAAAGCTCGTGTCCTGTGCCTCCTCTACTACCTCAGGATTTGTGCCATGTTCCATGCCCTCCAGCCACTACAAACCCTCAGTGATGCTGTGCCCTGGTTGGAGAAGAAGATTGAACCCTCCTGCAAATTGAGAGGGTGTGGCACCACAGTATGGGCTCCCACCCTGCCCCTACTCACCGTTTCAAGCCTCTGTGATGAGTTCTTAGGCTACCAGCCCACCCCATGAGGGACCAACTGTGCCTCAGAGAACTGGCACTAACCCCAGAAGAGGGCACAGGTGTGAAAGAAGCTAATGTTACAGGTAATTTTGGCAATGTCACAGGTAATTTTGGCAATTAAGAGTCATGTCCATGTAAGTGTATTTGTATTACGTTTCTTAGGAGGCTTAGCAGTCTACGGTAAGTCCTGAGCAGAATTAAGCACAGAGAACTCTACGTTCCTAGCTGAAGCCCTATAGAGTGTCTCCTATCCAAAAATACTGCCCCCACCTGCCAGGCAGCTCACAGCAGGACATGCCTGCCTGGGGGCTTCCCACACCACTATGCCTCTACCCAAAACTTTGCAAAGTGCATACTGAGGTCATCGACCTCATATCCTACAGCACCCTTGTCTACAGATGAGGATACTAAGTCCAGGAGCTGGAAATCCTGACTCAAGTCACAAAGTTAATAAAGGTAACTGAAAGCTACTGGGCTTGGTGGTACACACCTTTAATCCCAGCACTCGGGAGGCAGAGGCAGAGGCAGGAGGATCTCTGTGAGGTCAAGGCTAGCCTGGTCTACATGGTGAGTTCCAGGCCAGCTGGGACTACAGGGAGACCCTGTCTCAAAAAGACCCAAAAAAAAAAAAAAAAAAAAAAAAAAAGATTCTGATTTTAGATCTGCACTCTCTCACATACAGTAAGCATTTGAAGTTGGGTTTTGTTTCCTGGTTTTGAGTTACCCCTATGACAGACATGCCACAATTTCCCTACTATTTTTCTTAAAGTCAGCTTGCTTGGAAAACTTGTATACCTTACTCCAGTGGGACAACTCAAGAAATCATGGGGCTGGTGTGTAAGCTGAGTGTGTTTACTTAGGTGTTTGCCTATGGTGTGAAAACAGTCCATTTCCCACACCACCCGAGAGTCAGCTTATGGTCTCACTTGGGAAATACCAGGGAACACGAGGCTGTTTCTAGGGATGAGCCCACACTTCCAGCCAGCTCTCTGGTTGGGAACAGGGGTGTGAGAGACTGGTAACTTCCAGTGTCTTCCAGAGCTTCATGCATGACCTGGCCTGGGCTCATTCTCTTTCTGTTTTGCCCTCCCTCCTTCCCGTCTTCACTTCCTCCCAATTTCCCTTCCTTACTTCCTTCATCTCTTCGTACTTCCCTCCCTAACCCTCCCTCCCTTCTTTCTTCCTTCTTTCCTTTTTTCGTTTGGTTGGTTTCTGAACCAGAGTATTTATGTGTCCCAGGCTGGCCTCAAACACTTGATCCTCCTGCCTCTATCTCCTGAGTGCCGGGAGTGTAGACTTGCACCACTCCAGAACTTTCTGAACTTGCCATCCTTGAGCTTCCATATCTGTCTAACATTTGTGCTGGGGAGGGCATCCTTCTTGCATGGCTTCTGGATGACTAGAAGAGATAAAGGTTGAGATAAACTTGGCCCTGGGTAGGTCTCTGATGTTCTGTTGCTGGGGAAGGGGAGTAGAAACAGGCCACTGCCCCATGCCTACATACAGGAGGTCAGGGCAGAGTTCAAGGGCAGAGTTCAAGGACCCGCTATTATATACCAGGGCTGTGTTCACACTTTGCGCTCATCAACCCCCAGGTTAAGACAGAGCTTTAGGAAATACTAAGCTTCTACCTTGGGCTCAAGTCTTTCCGTGGCCAAACCCTAAGTTCAGTCCAAACTAAGACCCCAGATCAAGTCCCCACCCCGTTGTCCACCCCCACACGAGGCGGTAAGGGCAACAGGGGCCAGAGCTACATGGACAACAACCCCCACATACCCCCTGAACAATCTGGACTCATTCCCTGGCCTTGGTGGGGACTCTACCTGGGATTCCCAAGAAGTGACATCTTTGTCTGTATTCGGGGGTCAGGATGTCGACAGGGTCGCTAATGATGTCATTTCCTTTCTGAGAAATTTTCCCTCAGGATGGTTCCTCCATTAAACACCATTGAAATGCCATTTACAACTGAGCTGACATAAAGACAGAGTCCAAACTGGGTTTGTCATGATATATTCATTTACTTTTAGTTTTCTTCTGATTCGTAAGTAAGTTAATATGAAGACATTTTCAGGAAGTTCCATGGGCTAGAAGCTACGGATAACCTGTGTGCGGGGTGGGGGTTGGGTGACCACACCACACAGGGGTGCCACAGGGAGAAAGTGTCTTGGCAGAAGATGTTCCAGCTGTTCTCAGGAACCACAGGACAAGCTGGAAAGGGGCATGATCTGTGCTCAGAGGTCAGACACCAGTCCCCAGCTGAACATTATCAATCAAGGATTAAAAAAAAAAAACCACAAAGCAAGGAGCTCATCTGATAAGTGAGCTCCAAGTTCTACCTGTACCCTAGAACAAATCCTCCCTCAAAAACACATGACCTTCAAAAGACTCCCTGCTAAGAAGTACGTGACACATATCCCCCTCGTGTGGTGGTGAATTCCGGTTGTCAACTTGTCAGAATATGGATCACCTGGGAAGGGGGTCTCTAAAAAGGATTGTCTGGATTGGGTTGGCCTGTAGGGATGCCTTTGAGGGATTTTCTTGATTTGGTTAATTGAGGTGGGAAACCCACCCATGGAAAGCGGCACTGTTCCCTACACAGGGGATCTCAGACTGGATCTCAGACTGTATAAGTGGAGAAGGTAATCTGAGCACTAACAGGTGTTACTCTCATCTCTGTTCTGGATTGTGGATGCAGTGTGACCAAGCCTTCAAGTTCCTACTGCCTTGGTTTTCCAGCCGTGCTGACAGACCGTACCTAGAACTGTGAGTCAAAATAAACCCTTTCTCCTTAAGGTAGCGTTTGTCAGAATATTTTATCACAGCATCAGGAAAAGAAACTAAGACACTCAGAAGCTGTACACCAAACACAGCTTAGGGCAGGTCAGCCCCACCAGCTCTGGGCAGAGCATGCTATTGGTCATTGTTGAGGGAAAATTTCTTGGCGAAAAGGGGGAAAGTCAAGCCAAACTGCTTAAATGAAAAGCAGAGATTAGCTCCCAGGCCTTGGTGGCTCAGAGAAGCCCAAGGCAGAAAACAGTCTTTCTTGGGGAAGGCCTGGATAGGAACAAGCAAGAGAGCCATCCAGTGGAGTGGCCTAAGGGCCCTCTGTCCTTCCAGCCTGGGGGGCTCTGTCCATCCCCCTTTGTTCCCCACTCTGCAATCCAGCAGCAACTATCATTACGTCCATGGGGTAGACAATGTCTCCAGGTTATAAGGGTACTCACAGACCCCTCCAACACCCCCTTCATCTTGAATTCCTACTCTAAGGGAAACACAAGTCCATTGGCACAATTTGAATCAAGGGCTCTAGAGGCAAGGCAGGGACATCCATGGCCAATAGCTCTTTTGAGGGGCTTTGCCCCTGGCATGCAAGCACAGTTCCTATGGAAAGTCTTAAGGAGCTGAGACCACTCTGACAGTCACTCATTTGGATGGTTCCATCCTTCCAAAGCAGGAATGGAAGCTGAATGGGCAGGAATGCACATGGCCTTCTAGCTGAGACTACCTTTGGGAGGTAGCAGGCAGACCACCATGGCACAGCTGTCATCAAGGATGTCACCACAGTCTCTCAACCAGAGTGTGACATTTACCCACTGGCTGGCCCTAGGGTCTTGGTCACAAACACAGTAAGGAACAGGCCACTTCTAACCTGGGGGCTACAGGTCTGTAGCATGACCTAGATTCAACACACTTGCTGAAGAAGCTGGGAACCCATGCCTTGCAGGCACCCCTTGTTCATGGGCTGCTAGGTGGGAGGTTGTGAGAGAAGAGCAGAGCCAGTCTGTAGGGTCTGTGATCCAGGCAGGAGACAGCAGTTCCCAGCCAGTGGCTCAGGCTGGGCAGTGGCTCAACCTCCAAGCCAAGAGAAGCTGTGGCCAACATACCAACATCCCAGACGCCGAGCAGATGACGCCTCTCCGCTGCCATCTCTCTCAGGGAGCCTGCCAAGTCCCCAGGCCCAGTCAGTGCTGACATTTAAAGCAACGTGTGCGTAAACCATATTAAACCATACGGCAAGCTGTGGGTTATTAAGTGCAGGATAAATTGACCACAGCAATTAAACTGAGATTAGAGATGGAGACCAGAGCTGCTGGATGGGAATACTACAACGTACCAGGCCTGACAGTGCGTATGGCATCCCAAACTCCAGAGCACAACCCTCAAAGGAAACTTGCCCATCACCCCTCCCCCCAGCCCCAGCTCCCCACCTTCGTCTGATGATTCTTCTCTTGCTAATCTGGTGTGCTCAAGGAGACCCAGTTTGTGTCCAACATCCAGAAATTGTTGTAGACAGGGAGAGCCAGGGGTCACGTCCTCAGAGAATTAGCTGGTCTATTGTGTCTGGATACTCCCTGCCTCCTCCCAGTGCCTACTTGGTGCAGATCACTGAAAGACCTTGGGTTAGAGGGGGGTCACCCAGAGTGAGTTCTAGAAGCAAAGAGCACATGTTCTCAGCCCACAAGTGGCAGGCACTCTTTAGATACCTGGCAAACTCAGGGTAGCAGTATAAGGTCCCAAATAGGGCCAACCTTACCCAACCCAACTGGCCAGAGCACAGGGTAGAAGGAGGACGCTCTGGCACAGGATTGCCACCCCACGTCTCAGAAAGAGCATGCTGTCTACTTTTGAGTCACCGGCTCCAGCTGTCTGGGCCACAGGATCACTGTCTTGCCAAGTGCCTGTTGCCTGTCCCCAGACATTCGGATGTGAGGGTGAGGGAAGGGATGTGTTGAGGGAGGCTCTGATCCCCGAGTCAGGAAGAACTGCTTTTTACCTCCCAAAGGGTCCCTGAGCCTGGGGGCTGACCTGGCTATGGAGTTCAAGGTCCCAAGAGTTGCAGGAGTCCACATTTGATGGTTAAGGACACAGGATTTGAAGTGAGACAGGACGTGCTCAGGTTCCGGTCCTGTCTCTTGCTTGCTTGACAACCTTGGGCAAGTGATGACTTTTACCTGGCCTCCAGCTTCCTTCCTCTCCCATGGAATAGCTGGCTCTTGGTGCTCCCTCAGAGTGAGTGTGCACATGCAGACTCCTGGCAAGGACTCAGCATTGATGACACCTCTGGTTTGGCAGTTGTTAGTGTTCTCCAGCATGGAGGGACAGGAGTACTGGCTGCTGTGGATCCCCAATTACTTCACTCTTCCCAGTGTGGAGTCTCAACGGTCTATCCATCTGAACGCCATCCCCTGCCTCTGTGGAAACACTTGGAACCTCTGTGTCCCCTACTTGGACGGTGACATCCCAACTCCCTCTCCAGAGCTCCTTTGTCACACTCACTAAGGTGAGTGACCAGAGAACTCAGTATTTAGCTATTGTTGCTATTGTTTTGTTTTTCAAGTCAGGGTCTCGCTATATAGCCCTAGCTAATTTAGAACTTGCTATATAGACCAGGCTGGCCTGGAATTCAGAGAGATCTAGCTACCTCTGCCTCCTCAGTGCCTGCACCAGCACATCTGGCCAGCATTCGACTTTTAAAAGATGATTTGCCAGCACATTCAGCATGGATGGAGGTTCTGCGAGCCAAGGAACTGGGATCCCTCACCCAGTCCCTCATTTCCCTCACACAGTACATATCCTGGTAAGACACTTGAGTTAACCAACCAACCCTCTGAGGGAAAGCCTATTGGGAAGCAATCTTCTTTTACTAGGTTTCCATCATCACCATATGGTTGATGGAGGGAACAATTCATCCTTTGCCTCAGCAGCTTCCCTGTAGTACTAATGTTCATAATGACAGTGTTCCAAGAGTTGGTTGAGGAAGCAGTTTCCATCTGTGCTTCCTGAAAGATTAGACTGGCTCTTGCCATTAAGTCAAAGGTAGCCCACTGTTGAACAAGCTGTATGCACTCAGAGACGCAACTCTTAGCTCTAATCCTTAAACGCTCTGTGTCACCCCATTCCATCTTCCTTGGCTCCTTGAGGCAGAGGTAGGGAGTGGTAGGGAAACCATCTTGTTTTGTGAACATGCGTATCCTTAGAAATTGCCCAGAGAACTTTCTGGTTGGAAGCATATTTGAACAGATGGCTGCTGTAAGAATGTAATAGACATATCTTGGGATGGGGATATGGATGAACCCAAGGTACCAGGCCACTAGCCAGCCTCTGAGGTTCAAGGCACTACTGACCAAAGTTTTGGAGCATTTTTTTGGTTATGAGTGGTCAAAAGGATGAAGAATTTATACCCTAACTGAGCAGGTTCCAAGTTGTAGAAGTCTTCGCTGAACTGTAAGAGGCATAGATTTGGTCCCTGGGAAGCAGGGTAGGTGATCCCTTTTGCTTTTCAGCTGCCTACCCCAACCACACTATAGCTGGTTTAGAAGCGCTCCAGGCTCTATCTGCACCTGGGTCATAGAGCAGCTGTCTCTGAACCTACCTAGCAGGGTCCTGCGCTCAGCTATCCGGCACACTGCAAGCCTTCTGACAGTCTGATTATACTATTGTTGAATAGGCTACGTGGGATTAGTGTGTTTGTGTGTTGATGAGAAAGGCTCACTCATCCAAGTTCTTTGGGAAGGATTTTAGGCATCAGCAGTAGACTGCACCACTGATGGTCTGCTAAGTGCCTCTGAAGGCGATCTTCCTGGTTACAGACCAGCAAACCTTGAAGCCTTTCCGTCTGATACTTGATGAATTAAAATTTTTTAAATGGCCTCTTAGATCTCTCTAATTCAAAAGTTGACTCCTTGAATCTAAATTTCTTAGCTTAATATTCAGATATTTCCATACTATGACCTGAACTCATCTTTACCATCATCACTCTCCTACAGGAAGTAGAAAGACCATACTGGCTCTGCTGACAGGAAAACTAAGTGATGCTTAGCCTCTTGTCCCATGACTACCTCACAGCAATCTAGTTCTGCCATTCTGAAGACACAGATAGAGAAACACGGGGCTCAGGTTACTGGCTCTTAGGGCATAGAAGGGCTGGGGCCAGGGTTCAAAGCCAAGGTGTCCGTGCCCTAAACCACAAAGCTGTGTTGGGTAGATGTAACCTGTAGACAAGTCACAGGTGCCCCTAGGGAAAACTAGGTCAGAGAGTTTCAGAAACATGGCCAAGGCCACACAGTAATTGGCCTCCACTGCTGCCCCTTGACTCTACTGTTTCTGCTGAATCTTCTCCTCTCTCTCTCTCTCTCTCTCTCTCTCTCTCTCTCTCTCTCTCTCTCTCTCTCTCCCCCCCCCCCCTCACCTCTCTCTCTCTCTCTCTCTCTCTCTCTCTCTCTCTCTCTCCGCCCCCCTCCTCAATACCCACCTATCATTCATTGTCATCTGCTCAGGAAACCAGAGAAAGCCTGAACAACAGACAACGATCCCCAGAGTTAGTGAGCAACTAGTTCTTCCTCTTCCACAAAAATAAAAGTCAAGAAAGCCAAAGTTTCTTAATCTGACCCTGAAAATAAACTTCCTTTCTTCTGGGCTGGGGCAGTAGATGCCAAGTTCCACCTCAGGTCATTAAAAACCCAAACCAAACTAAACACTCCTAAGCCTCCAACCCTGTATGATTTCGTTTGTAATAAAAACACTAACTTCCCCTCTCTCCTGGTGGGGGATTGCTGTGGTCAGAGACAATGTTTTCACAGTCAGCTAATTAGCCCCTTCCAAGATGGTTGATGATCTAACTTCCCGCCCTCGGCTTGGCCTGAAGGGCCTGAGTTAGCCCTGAGGCCTGAACTGAAGCAAACCAGGGACTCAGAGGTGAGGAGGGGCTCGGGTAGAACCACCACACCCTCGCATTGAGAATCAGGGCCTATGCCCGCTTGCGTCCACCAACTCCTGTCTGCACAAGTCATTTTTCAATCTTGAGGCTCCATCTCATCATCTGTAAAATGGGGGCATCAATGATGCTATGAGAAAAGACCCCGGAAGTCTAGAGTCTCCCAAGGAATGCTGGTTTCCTTGTCTTTTTCCTTCTCTTCCTAGAGATCCAAGTGCTGAAAAGCCTGGCTGGACAGCTGCTATTCTAGCACATTCTTTCAATTAGTAGTCTTAAACATACAACAAATACTTCCAACCAGAATGGGTATTGAGTGATTTATGGCTGCCATCTCATGTCAGCCTAAGAATAGCTCCCTGAGTTTAGCCTTCCCACTGTGTCCATTTTACAGAAGAAATCACTGAGGCTCAGAGAAGATGCTCAGCTGTAAAGTGCTGGGGCAGAACTAAAACTCAGTCCTCCTGCCCCTTCCCCCACACTGTATCCCAACAGCCTCTCAATACAAGTTCTTGGTTGCAAACACATGTCTTTCTAGGAGACTTCTCAACCCATTCCAACTATGGTGCTGTTCTTGGGGCCCCCTTTGCCTCTCTCTGGTTTCTTGTTTCCTTTATCATCTGCTTTCTGGTTGATATTTTGTTATGGGGTGAGTGTGTCCCTCTAAATTCATATATTGAAGCCCTAACCCCCACTATGACTGCATTTGGAGATGGAGCCTATGAAAGGGTGACAAAGGTCCTAAGAGAAGCCCTAATCAGATAGGCCAGATGTCCTTAAAGGAAGAGGAAGACACCTGAACTCTCCAGCCACCTTGCTGGAGGGACACAGTAGGAGATGCCATCTACAACCAGGAAGAGCTCTCACCAGAATCCTCCCCAGACCCCTGTCCCCTAGTGCTCATCCAGTCTGATGTTTTACCAGAGAAGCCCAAGTTGATGGATAGAAGTCTAATTTGCCAAAAAAAATCTTTCCGTAGCTTACTGGGAGCTAATTATTTCTCGGTTTTTCATCTCTTTAATACAAAGAATTTACTAGATAGAGAATTCTTAGATTACAAGACTCTTTTCTCAGACTTTGCTTTCTAACTTCCACTGCTGCTCATGAGAAACCTCATGTGATTCTTATTTCCAGATTTCAAGAGAGACTTTTTTTTCTCTCTCTCATAGCTTTTGGGATTATCTCTTTACCATTCTGAAGTTTCACCATCTTGAGCCTACAGTCAACTTTTTTTTCATTTCTTGCATGCAAGAACAAGTTGAGTGGGTGCTTTAATTTGAAGTTTACTGGGTAGTTGTCTTGCATTTTTTCTTTGATGCTTTCTTTGTCTCTGTTTACTGTGTGGATTCTCTTAAGCTTTCTTATAAAGGACACGTGGATTTGGCCTCTTTAAAGAAACAGATCTGGGGACACAAGTTTGACTCTATAGGCATATGTGCATGTGCGCGCACACACACATACACACACACACACGCTCCCCCATACAGACACACACACACACACACACACACACACACACATGCACACACACACGATGATATTCTACATGAAATTGGGTGGGATGTAGGGGTGGTGCAGATGGAGGAGGGGATCGAAATTTGATCAAAATTTATTGTATGAAATTCATAAAAATTCAGTAAAGAGCACAAATTATTTCTTCCCAATAGGCCTCATGGTTGCTGCTTAACCTTCTGGAGTAGGTCCTTTCATTATCACACACCACTTACTGATTTTTACACTCTTTTTCATAGGGATGGTATATTCTCTTATCAGTCTGAAAGTGACAGAGTATTTTTAAATTTTTCTCTTGGTCCCGCTTTGTCTTTGTTTCCTGACCCTTCTCAGGGGGAGTGTCATTGCTGTTTATGTTTTGCTGTATATATACATATAAGTGTGTGTGTGTGTGTGTGTGTGTGTGTTGCTTTTATATTGAAAACTTCTCAAATATCTGAAGATCTTGGGTTGTCTGTTGATAGTTTACAGACAAACTCCCAAATGTGAATGGGAAACTCGTGTGTTTTTATGGTCGGCCAGAGGCAGAGGCAGTATTTTGTGCTCAGGGACTCCATAGGTGACATTCCTACTTTCCAGAGCAAAGTTCTCTGCCATATTAAAAGGTGGGAGTTGGGACAAATGGACGGATACTCAGGAGACAAGCAGATGAAATCTAAGGCAGTCCCAATGGGAGTTTGTTGTCTTTGTTCAGGCTACTAGAACAGCATACCGTAGGCTGGAGTCAATAATTGCTCACAAATCAGGAGGCTGGACATTCAAGCGCACCCAAGGCTTGCTTCCTGGCTCAAGGGCGAACCCTTCTTTCATGTGGCTGAAGGAGGGAGGGAACTCTCAGGGCCTCTTTTACCAGGTCTCTAATTCCATTTATGAAGACCTTTCCCTCACGACCAAATCGCCTCCCAAACGTACACCTCCTGGGACCTTGCCAACACAGGGCCTTGGAGGAGACACAAGCATTCAGCCTGCAGCAGATGCACTACGAAAGTCATCAGGAACAGAAAAGGAAAGGGGGATAGGTCGGGGAGACACATCTGTGGGTATCTTGGTTAAAGCTTATTTTTGTCTGAGAATCCCAACACTTTCATCTACACGTTGGTGCAGTGATTTCCACCATGGATGGCTTCTGTTAGGCTGTATTTCTGTCACACTCTCCCCTGGAAACTTTCCAATGTGTTATCAATATTGGAAATAAATCCAATAGATGCTTGAAGAATATTTCTTCATATTTCCATTTTTAAAGGGGACAGTTTTGATCATTAAACTCCATCCTTCATTACTTTCATTGTAATACTAAGCTTTTCTATTGTACAAGAAAATGTGTTCATTATAGATAATCTTGGCTTTTTGTTGCTGCTGTTTGGATGTTTGGAAGTTGGGGAGAGGCAGTTCCCTGTTGTGGAATCTTTTCTCAACATTTATCTCAATCATCAAACATCAGTACTGACATCTAGCCACTGGTAGGTCCAACCACACCAACACTCTGCTGGAGCCTCTGATCCCATCATTAATGCTCCTTCAGGTCCATTATTAAACGTATTAAATATCTGACTGGGAGATGACTCAGTGGTTAAATAATTCCTGCTGTTCCAAAAGTTCTATGTTCCATTCCCAGCACCCATATTGAGCAGCTCACAACCACGTGTAACTCCAGCTCCAAGGGATCTGATTCCCTTTTCTGGCCTCTATGGGCACCTGCAGCTCACATGGCATGCACTCACACAGACACACAGTCATACACGTAAATAAAATGAAATCTTAAGTCAACTCTATAGTAATATTGGAATTGTAAGTGTTGGTGTCGTTTAATAGTCATTTACTTAGGAAATATTTCTGAAAAAATAATTGCCACTTACTGAGATTTTTACATATTCCACACGTTGGGAAATCACCTTCAAGAATGATACTTAATCCAAACTGAGAAAATAAGAGCCCCCTTTTCCCACAAAGGATCTCTAATAGTTAAATATCACGTTATCATGCATTGTTAGACTCATAAGTAACATGCAGGATTAACGTGATCAATTCTTTCTTGAACATTACACTGAGTGAAACCGGCATATCCCAAGCACACAGCCTTCCACTTCTTGTCCTCCCAACATGTGCCCTGTGGATTCTTGTCACTGAGGTGCTGAGAAAAGGGATTCTGTGGTCACCAATGCAGGAGCTGCTGAGCACTGCCATCCCTCTCTTAATCCCAGGGCTCCCTAGCTGACCAAGAGCATTAAGATCTGCATTCCACTGAGCACCATTTAACTTTTAAAATTTTTTATTTTATTTATTTAGCTAGTTAGTTATTTGTACTTTACATGTATGAGTGTTTTGCCTGCCTGTATATATGTGCACAACATGCATGCAGTGTCTGAGGAGGCCAGAAGAGGGTGCCATATCCACAGAACTGGAGTTATGGATAGTTGTGAGCCTTCGCCTAGGTGCTGGCAACCCACCCCAGGTCCTCTGCAAAAGCAGCCAGTGCTCTTATTTGCTGAGCCATCTTTCTAGCCCCCATTGAACTTTTTAACGTAGAGTTTCCTGAACAAAATCCCATTTTCAAGACATGCCTGTAAGAAATTCAGCTGAGTGTTTTTCAGCAACAACTTGGGGGTGTGATCAAATGAGAGGCTACAGAGCATATCCCTGTCCTTGTAGCACCACAGGTCTCCCACCAAATAATCTTGCTGGTAAAGATTAAAATGGATAACTGTTCTCACAATAGAGGAATAGTTACCAAAGTTGCCCTCTATTGGGCTGGGGAAGATGGCTCACACAAACATTGAAGATTGGAGTTCAGATCTCCAGAACCCATGTGAAAGCTTTACAAGACAGGAAATCCCCAGAGCAAGCTGGCTAGCTAGATGAACTGAGTTTGAAGGCTCTGGCTTCAGCAAGAGACCCTGCCTCAGTAAATAAAGTGGGACGCATGATTAAGGAAGACATCCCATGTCAACCTCCAACCTTTAGGCACATGTGCACATACATGTACTCACACTCACATTACATACACACCCACACACATGCACACACATGCTGTGCTGGATAGCTTTAGTTGTCACCTGACACACCTGGGAAGAGGGAGCCTCAGCTGGGGAATTGCTTCCATTGGATTGGCCCGTGGTCATGTCTGTGAGGCATTTCCTAGATGGTTGAGTGATGTCGGGGGCGGGGTGCCACCCCTGGGCACATTGTCCTGTACTGTATAGGAAAGCAGACTGAGCACTGGCCAGAGGAGCAAGCCAGTAAGCAGCATTCCTCCAGGGTCTGTGCTCCAGGTTCCAGCCCTGAGTTCCTGCCTTGGCTTCCCTTGCTGATGGACTGTGCTGTAAGCCAAATAAACCCTTTCCCACCCCAAGTTAGTTTTGGTCAGTGTTTTCATCACAGCAATAGAAAGCTAACCAGAACACACACAAAGATGCTACCCTTTATCCGTGTAACAAAGTATGCTCATAGGCAGTCAAAGTAATCATTTTAAAAACCATTCAGTGGCATAACTGTTACTGAAATATGTAGGAAAACAAACTAAAACTGCATATAGTGATTCTGCTTTGAAGATGCACAGCAGCACACCAAAATTGCAGTTTAAGTTAATAAGTATTAGAATAATTTTATATGAGAACATTTAAAAATGAAGACTGCTCATTCTAGAAAATGAAGGGGCCGTATGGGAAAGATGGTCACCAGTATCCCAAAATACGAAAGTCAGCAGCCCAAGCCACTTAAGGGGCACCATTTAACCTTCACCAGGGATGCAGCAAAGCCGAGGCACTCATTACCCCAAGAAGTCCAAGGGACACTTCGGCTCATTTGTACGTGTCAGATTCATAATGGATTATTTCAAGAAAGCTAAGGATGTGGGGGAAGAAACATCTGTGACCTTTGGAAGCTGACATCATGGGAGGAAATTACCTTGTCCCTTCTTCCTAAGGGACTCATGCTCAGTCTTCTCCTTAAAGGTCTCGGAAGGAATCCTCCTCATTTCCCTAATAGCCTGCTTCAATCTCCCAGCATTCATCTACTTGAAAGACCAGCCTCAAACCGTCAAGCCCTTCTTCTCCATTTCCTACCTAAGGCTGCAAACTGGAAACTTTTCATTTCCCTTATCAACCTGAAAGGAGTCAGGGGGTGGGGGTCTTCTCGAGTGTGGGAAGCCCGAGAAAAATCACCCTTGTCATTGACCTCCAGTCATCTCCAGGGGAAATGTATTTTCAGAGTTTTTAAGGGGATAGGGCTCCAGGGTGAATGCACATGTTAGTTACTTTTCTCTTGGCTGCAACAAAACACCTGACAGAAGTGCTTTAAGGGAGGAAGGGTTCACCTTGGTTCCCTGCTTCACATTCGGGAAGGAATGGCAGCATTGACAGTGGCTGTGGGGGCAAGAGGCAGCTTGCTTATATCCAGGTGGATCAGGAGACAGGGAGCTCGGGCCAGGAGTGAGACCAGGCTACCACCCTTAAGTACTTCCCCCTAAAACCCACTTTCTCCAGTTAGTCTCCAACTTCTAAAGGTACTACAAATCTCCCAAAACAACACTGCCAAGTGAATACCAAGGGTTCAAACACCTGATCCCATTCCATGGGGGATATTGTACACCCAAACAGCAGCAGAGAACTTCTGTTTCCAGAGACTCCTGAGTAATATGGATTCCTTTAAAAAGCAGTCTTTATTCACCCACATGTGTTCTCTCTCCAGGGTCCCCTTTCTTAATAGGACATCTCAGATTACCAACACACACACACAGCCCCTAGTCCCTGGACACAGAAAACACAAAAGGATGAATCAGGAGACTTTTGTAAGGTCAGCATCTAAGATCATCTGCTGCCCCTGTGAACTTTCTCTGCCTGATAGACATGATGGAGCTTGCAGGAAGGCCCATCAGGGAGCAGAGATTGCCTTACCAAACCCATCTCATTCTACAGATGTACAAAATGAGCCAGAGCTGGGTGACGATCTGCCCCAAATTGCAAAGCTGGGATTAGAACCTGTGTCTCCTTCTTACACAGAGTCCATTTCCTCCTGTTTCTTTCTATACTGGGCACATGTTGTCAACTTTATAAGAGGCAGCTGATGGTACAGAAGTTTCTAGAAAGATTCCTCTTAGGATTGATAAGATTCGTGGGCTTTAGGTGTACAGAAGTACTATATATCCCTATTCTGTGTGCAGGCCTTTGTCTTGTGTGTGGCCGGATGTGAACCCTTCCAGAACATTCTCCAAATTCATACCAAGACCCTTCCAAAAATGTCCTCCTTAATTATGTGGAAAGCATCCTTCCTGCTTGGTTGCCAAATGTAGCATTTCAGGAATTAAAGCAAAACTGGGACTTGTTTCCTTCTCTTGAGCTGAAGGTACATCTTTAGTTTGTTTTAAATTTCTCCTTTCTTCATGGTATTGGCGACGGTGGATTAGTAATGCTAAAAAATTTATCTTTACAACCTATTGTCTTAGGTAAGATTGTATCAACAGCTCCAGATGGACCAATCTCCAAGAATAATTTCACTTCCCCTTATCGCTGACAGGAATCACATTTACATATTCTACTGGTGGGCGAGATAATGCAGAGATGATTAATGTCCTTCGATGAGCAGATACCTGTAGACTGTTTGATCAATGTCTCCCCAAGAAAGTGTCTTTCATTCTGGATGCTCAGAGCCCCAAAGCACTCTGTGATTAATGTAACTAAATGTTTAGGGTCGGCAGGAGCTGCAAGCTCTATTCCTGTGTCCCCCATCACACTAAAGGGATGTCGCAGGAGACTTGATTAGTCATGTGGAGAAAAAGTCTATAGGATGTATGTGTGTATAGCTGTGTTGTGGGGGTGGCGTTTCCCAATGTCCTTTTCAAGAAACAAACTAAATCTACCCAAATCTCCCCTCTAGGGCTCCAAGGGGGAGCAGCATGCTCTGTTGGGGTGGATGGAATTCCTGTTTAGTTAGAAAGCCAAGTGTATCTATGACTATGTGTTGTGTTGAAACTAGGATGTAGCTGATTTATTTCATACCATTTGTTATCTAGAGATGTCTGCTCTCCTCTCATTCTTCCTGAGAAAGGCACTGAACCAGTTGGACTCATGGAACAAAGGCATGAAGTGCCTTAGACATGTGTACGTCCTTCATCCCCTGGCTCCACTTCACAGTTCCCTCTAGAATATCTTTGAAGATTGCTCAATGGTGAGGGTCTCATGCCTGGGATGGGAGGACTCTGGGGTCATCCTCAACTGAAACTAAACATGCCAGCACTGCAGCAAGCTGGGTAACCTCAGCTCATGTGCCAAATTTTCTCCCTGCTTCACCCTGCCTCGGTCAGTTTATTGAATCTGTAACCTGGAGGCATCACTGTAAGGATTCAGAGGTAATGGGGTGCTTAAATAGGGAAAAATTTTACATGGTTTGATTAGTATCTGGCATCCAGCAGGTGTTCAATGAATTCTAGGTCTTGTTGCCATCGTCAGCTCAGAAAGTAGCTAGCTGAAATTCCTCCTGCCTGTTTTGTATAGTCAGCACAGCTTCGTCAGGTGCTGCCTGGCTAGGTCTCTCCTGCAAGATCCATTTTCCACTGGAAAATGTTTTTAAGGAAATTAGATTCAATTCAAGCACATTTACATAATAATATGCATATGTAAAACCTGAGTAAGCCAGGCTGCCCCTAGCTGTGGGAGCCAAGGAGGCCATATTTAGGAATATAAATTACTTCAGGAATATGTTTCTGGGCTCTGGACCACTCCCAAGGAAGGCATGTGGATCATGATTAAATAGCAAAACTGGAAGACACTAGACGGATTGAGAAATAAAAGCCAGAACCTCTGACAGTGGTCAGAGCCAAAAGATGGAGTTTGGGAAGAATGAGGCTGGGGTGAGCAATAAGACTTTCTCGAAGGGGAGCAGCAGAGCCATTCACTTATACACTCATTCATTCACTCAACAAACACTTACTGGATGGTAGATGCAGTAAATAGGGCAGACCAAGTTCCTGCTCCATGAACTTCACATCCAGTAGACAACACGCAGGCAAAGCAGACAATGACTAAGATCATGTCAGCAAGGTCAACTGTTCTTCCTCTGTGCTATGAGGAAGGTGGGCTGGCCTTGTTTTCCCTATCAGAGGGGTCTGCTTTCTAGAGAAGCAGCTCAAGGCTTCTAAACAGTCAAGTTCTGCTATCTTCTTTTTTGGGCCACATGGCTTGGAAAACTCACATCTGCACTGGTGCGTTCTTCCCTTCAGAATGGGAGACCCACAGCAAGTCCCCAGCGTGAAATTCTTTGCAAGCAGCCACAGAACAATGACATAGTCTGACCCAGGGGAAGCAAAACCCCAAGATGCTTGCCACTACATAGGTTCTCGTGCCAGTAGCTAGGTGTGGTGCAAGTGTCGCTCAAGGTCCACTGTGACTGGAGGCTGGGTCCCCAGTGTGGTATTATTGGGAAAGGAGGAGTCTTTAAGACATGAGCCCTGGTGGAAGGCCCTTAGGCCATGGGGTGTAAGGTCTCAGGAGTTAGCTCTAATGGGACCATTAAGGTCCTGTCCTAAGAAAGAGCAGACCTAGCCCCTGCCAGATCTTTGATTCTGGATTCAGGGTATGATCTTGCTCCTGAAAGTCTAACTGCCACTGCCTTCCACCATGGAGTGGTAGCTGCATCAGGGGGCCACCCTCCCGAACCATGAGCTGTGCTATGTCATTTGGACTTTGAACTCCAGAACTGTGAGCTAAGTTAACCTCTTTTCTTCATAAGTTACCTGTTTGGGGCATTTCATTACAGTAATGAAAAGCTCACCAGTCCATGGTAACTGTTTTGATTGGAATGGTCCCCATAGGCTCATGTGCAGAACACTTGGTCCCCAGCTAGTAGAGCTGTCTTGGGAAGTTGTGGAACCTTTGGAATGTGAAGCCTAGCTAATGCTTATATGCTACTAAAGACAATGCCTATCTCTGCTTCTGGTCTAGCTCTTTCCTGATCCAGCTGCCATGTGAAGAGGCTGCTACACACTCCTGCTGCCACAGGGCCACCTCTCCACACCTTCGCTGATATTTTGGAAAGTGTCTCTGAAACAGTGAGCCAAAATAAATCAGCCCTCCCTGAAACTGCTTCCATCAGGCTTTTGAATGAAGAGAGTTACTAAACACAGTGATGGTGCCTCTGAGTCTATTCAGCTCCAGGCAGATCCATCAGTCAATCTGAGCTTGCACTAGTGGACCACCTCTCGGCCTCTGCAAGGATGAAATTATGAAAAACCCAGAAGATATAACTCTTCTTGTTCATGGGCACAATCAGAAGATGGAGTTACTAAGCTACATAGGGGAGAAGCTAAGCTGAAGCTTGACCTTCCACCTGTCATGTCCTTTCCCTGTGGACATCTTACCTACCAGAGCACGTGGATCTCTGGCTGGGATGCTCAGGGACTTGCAGGGTCAGATGCTATAGCCTCATCCCTTTCTGAATACCACCTAGTCACCCCTCTGAATGCTCCTCTCTGAGGCAACATTGCAAGGACTTTGGAATTAGATGAGCCTGGGTTTAAATCTCAACTCCATGCGACTTTACCCTCTTTAAGTCTTAATTTCAGGGAGAAAGACAGGGTGAGCATTAAGCCTACTACATAGCTTTCAGTCAATGTGATTGGTACCATTACAGCTTATCCCTAAGCCACAGTCTAAAGTGCCCTTTAAGCATCGACATGATAGTACAGTGATAAGATCCCACACCAGGAAGCTGACTGCACAAAACTAATAAAAATGTGTTCTGCAAATAGCTGGGTGTGGTGACCCATGCATATCACTCCAGCTACTTTGGAGGCTGAGGCAGGACTATCACTTGAGCCCTTGAGTTACAGACCAACCTGGGCAACACAGCAAAATCCTCTAATAAAAAGGCCAGGGGTGATGGTAGACAACTTTAATCCTAGCACTCAGGAAGCAAAGGCAGGCTGATTTCTATGACTTCAAGTCCAGCCTGGTCCACATAGGCATATAGTTCTAGGCCAGCCAGGCCTACAAAGAGAGACCCTGTTTCAAAAAAAAAACCCCAGCACTATTACTAATAATAAGTATTCCATAAAATTACCTTCTGATTATTACCTTGAGGGTGAGAGAGGAAGCCTTAAATGTGGCTGGGACATAGTAGGTACTCAGTAAGTATTATTGCCTTTCCACTGCCACCTCCCATTCTAAGCAGGCAGAGATGCGAGGGAGGGGATGAGGAGAGCTGCAGTGTAGGAGGTTGTAGGAAGGAAAAAATTGAGAGCCAGTTCACAGGGTGGATCCACAAGATAAGAAGCAGGCTAGCTCAGCACTGCCACCCAAGTTGGTGGCTCTCACACCTCAGCTGTGACATTTTCTAAGAGTGTTTCTTTGCCACAGAGTTCATTAGTTGCAGACAGCCTTTGACTGGCATGAACACCAGGATGAATCATCTATTGCCTGATAAATAACACAGAGCGCCTATGCTTGCACATCTAACTCTAGAGGCTTCTGTTCCCATTTTTCTTTGCAGGGGAGGCATCAGAGAGGGTGACAGCAGGAGCCCTTTTCTCTAGCTTTTTTTAAAAAAAAGGAAGAAAAAAATACACATTTAGTAAACAGGAAAATTATTTAAATAAGCAATCCTGAGGAAAAAATATGGAAGCCAATTTTATTCATAAAACAACTGATTTACAGCATTCTAGCTAAGAGCAGCTTTTAACTCAAGCCTCTGAGATCTTATTTATTATTCAGCAAAATATTCAAGATTAATAAAGGTATCTTAAATGCTAATACAGCAGCAAGAGCTAATATATGTAAAATAATTATTATGAAAAGTGTTATCAATATTTGGGGGAAGTAATGTACATGCATAATGAATGAATTTTGCCCCTGGGTTTTAGCTTCTATCTTGGCCTGATTTTGCATGGAGAAATTCTGCATTATAATGAAAGGAGAAATGATCACACATTAGAACTGTGAGCTTTATATCACTGCTCAGAAGGATCTTAAAACTGTCACCTAAACGGGACTATATATATGTATATTCCATACAAACATGCACATGGCATACGGTAAGACTGATCATCCTTTGAGTGCCGTGAAATTCACCCCCACACACACTGATTTTAAAGTGACAGTCATTGACCTTGAAGAAGTAAATTTTAAAAAGAGACAAATATCACAAAGACTCTACCAACTTTGGGCAAAAGAAGCCTTGCTTAGACTTACTTTTTAGGTCAAACCTCCTGAAGGTGAAATCAAGCAGTATTTCTCAAATAGGATACATAAGGCAAATCCCAAAAGGAGCGGTTCTTATTAACATGAGTCCCTGAGACTTTCCAGGGACTGGGAGATGGTTCAATGGGTGAAGTGATTGCTGTGAAGTATGGCACGTAAGGACCTTAGTTTGAACCCTCAGGACCCATATATAAAGCTGGGTGCAGTGACCTGAGTCTGTGACTCTGACACAGGGAGCCAGAGACAGACAGTTCCAGGGAGCTCCCAGGACAGACAATCTAGTTACAGCTGGGAATTCCAGATTCAGTGAGAGACCTTGTCTCAAAAAACAAAGTAGTAGAGCATTTGAGGAAGACATCTGTCCTCCACCTTCCCACACACAATTGCACATATACATGTGCACGTGAGCACCAGACAGCTAGAGAGATGATAGATAGATGATATGTGGATAGATGAATAATAGATGATAGATAGAAGATGATAGATAGATAGATAGATAGATAGATAGATAGATAGATAGATGATAGATGATGATGATGATAGATAGAGAGATAGATAGATAGAGAGATAGATAGATAGATAGATGATAGATGATGATAGATAGATAGATTAGATAGATAGATAGATAGATAGATAGATAGATAGATGATAGAGATACAGAGGAACTTTCCAAATTTAAAGGATACCCTCCACTGTTATTCCAAAGATTTAGAGTAAAAAAAATCAAAATCCGAGCTGGCAAGATGACTCAGCAGGTAAAGGCACATGTCCTACAAGTCTGATGACCTGAGTTCAATCCCCAGAACCCCTATAAAGATGGAAGGAAATAACCAAATACACAAAAGTTGTTCTCTGACCTCTAAACGTACCATGGCATGCGCGATCCCCCTACATCATACATACATACATACATACAGGCGCACAAATAATGATAATAAATAATTTTAAAATCAAATTCTATTCAAACAACACATGGGCCCTGCTCCTGGCACCAAACCCTGTGAAAATACAAAGAGGAGCTGTCTTCCCTTCCAGAACACAGAATCCCAAACTAGAATTTGAAAGACTTGCAACTGTGATCCAGTCCTTCATTTCATAGCTGGGGAAACGGAGACCTGAAGAGGGTGGACTCATTCAAAACTGCCTCTCCTTACTCTCCAGCCAGGATCTTTCTGGCAACGCACCCCCACCCACCCACCAACTTTACCAGGGCAAAGATGGAGATGTGCTGTCCTCTGATGATGTCAACTGTTTCCAGGTAAAATCTGCACCTTCTCCGCTGAAGGATCTCGGGGTCAAACTGCACATGCCCTTTGCCACTCTGAGCTCAGACTCCAGCTTCAACAAATCAACTCAGTTCCTGCTGGGCACAACCCACGCTATACATTATATTCAAAGGCATAGACCCTTGCTGTGGACTTTTAGAGGAAAAGGCTCCCACTTTCCATGAACTCTAAGTTGAGGTGGGCATGTTCAATGTCACCAAAACAAAACATAAGTTTCTAAACATTTGCTAGCTCTGAAATTTATGTGTAAGAACTCATGTTTGAGAGGGCTTGTTTTTTATGTTAAATGACTATGCCGTAAATCTCACAAACTGCATAAATCAGACTTGACTCTGGCCCCGTGAGCAGGCTGAGGCCGATTTATGGCCAGGCAGGAGAGAAGAACAGTGGACTTTGTTTGTTTTACCAGCTGGCATTCCCACACAGGAGTCTCGGGAGAGCTGGCCTCGAAAGCCAGGGAACAACTCACAAGGCTGCAATAAATCCACCTGTGAACCATGGTTCCCCTAGGGTTAAGAGGGGGCCTCCACCAGAGTGGCATGCTGGCCGGTGGAAGATGCCATTGGACTGGAGTCCAGGTGACAACGCCGTGTCCCGTCCATGACATGCTGCCAGTTCTTACTGACTCAGAATCCTTTTAGGGCTCCTCTCATCTTTGATTCTTGTTATTGTTACTATTGTTTGGAAGTCTGAGATCAGCATAAGCCCTGGGAATTAACTCAGTGGTACAGGGCTTACCTAACATGTGTGAGGCTGTAGGTTTAATTCGCAGCAACCACCTCCCCCAAAGAGAACAATACAAAGCATTTCAAGAGAGTTCCACATCATTAACAGACTCTCAATGAATCCTGTCATTAGTATAACAGTCACTCATCAAACAAATTTCGGGTTTCTAAAAATTATTTTACTCATTTTTTTTTTTTGAGACACAGTCTCTCTGTAGCTCCAGCTGGTCTAGAACTCACTATGTAGATCAGATGCCCTCAAACTCACAGAGATTTACATGCCTCTGCCTCCTGAATGCTGGGATTAAAGGCCATTTATTTATTTTATATGTGTGTATATGTGTGTAGGCACTTCCAGGAGTTGGTTCTCTCCTTCTACCATGGAGGTTTGGGGATTGAACTCAGGTTATCAGGGTTGGAGGCAAGGGCCTTTATGTGCTAAGCCATCTCACCAGCCCCATCATTAAGCAAATATTCAGTGTGCATTCACTATGTGGCAGAGACAGCTTTCTATGGATTTTACAGTCTAATAGCAAGGGGAACAGAAAATATGAAAACATTAGACCAGATAACAAGAGCTAACAGGAAAATTAAGTGCAGTGATGAGGGTGCTTCCTTAGACAGGCTGTTCAGGGTGAATCCTAACAAGGTGGCATTTATCTATTTATTTAATAATTTATTTAATGTATGTTTTCCTGCTTGTATGTATGTGCATCATGTGCATGCAGTATCCATGGAAGCCAAAAGAGGGCATCAAATGCCCTACACCTTGAGTTACAAGTGGTTGTGAGCTCCCATGAGGGTGCTGGGAACCATACCCAGGCAGACCCTCTGCAAGAGCAGTAAATGCTCTTAACTGCTGAGCCACCTCTCCAGCCCAGAGAAGATGACAGTTACTGAGAGGCTCAAGTGAAACAAAGGGAGCAGTCGAGCTGTCAGGTAAGACTGCTGAAGGATAGCCAGATTAAGGGCTAAAGGCAGAACAAGAGTGACATCTTTAAGGACCGCCAGGGAAACTGGGGTGGTCGGAGGGGAATGAGCAAGAAAGAATAACATGAGATGAGACCGGAGAGGTAACGAGGGTGTTCCACAAAGCCTCATAGGCCTCAGGATGGATTGCACTCTGAGTAAGATGGGAAGCCTAAGAGGGTTTGAGCAGAGGGATGACGCAACATGGCTGTGCTTTGAAGACTTTGCTCTGTCTAGAGAGCATGTTGGAGGCAAGAGTCGAAGCAAGGGCCCATCCCCATCCTATTGCAATTCCAAGCCAGTGCTAATGGCTGCGGGTGGCAGACTCTCTCGGCTGGCTCTATTGATCCCACACCGATTGCTCACTGTCCATTGGCCCAACTTTAAGAAAGACAGCAATCAGAAGCACTTAGAGCCTGAGAGCTCTGGACACTTTGGAGAAGGAGCAGCTCCCGAAAGGAGCTCACGGGTCCCTTCAAAACAAGATCCAGGCACAGCCCATAGTTATTGCCTTCTTTCTGATGATTTACCTAAGACCAATTTGGTAGTTCTAGCTCTGGGAGAAAATGCTGGAAACCTGTTCACCAGTGTGTCAAGCAAATGGTACCAGAGATCTCGCTGGACTTAATTAGAGCCACACTGGACTTCATAGACAGGGGAGGGAGCACGCCCAAGAGAGGAAGAAGGGGAGCTGCTCTAACAAATTGCTTTCAGGCCATGCAGTGTATTGGGAAGAACACTCCCAGAGTGATTACTGAGGAGGGTGACTTCAGGACAGTGAAGAATGGGGCCAAATGGGACAGAATGGACAAATTAATGATTAAGGAAGTTTTTTTTCTTCTTCTTCTTCTTCTTCTAGGAGTTGTGTCCAGCCTGGCCTCCCCGATTTGAGCAATCATTCACTGTCAAGAGAGCCTGGGAGATGGATTCAATTAAGATTAGGGAGGCAGGAAAATGGCATGGGGGCTTCCGATGAGTGCTGTCCTCACTCTCATCTCTGGGTGCTGGTAGCTTGGACAGGTTTCAGGGAGGCAACATAGGCATCGACTTTCTCATAATTAGCAGCTTCTTCTAAAGGAGCACTGAGAAGGTAGAGCTATGCTATATGGGGGGTCAGTTCCTCGAAGCAAATAAATGTAATTGGAGTCTCATTAATTCTTAGTGATGCCTCAGTGTCCTCTCTGCCATGTCAGGGTCTGAAGAACTCTCTTGGAGATGGGAGCTCCATGGAAACAAAGAGGCCAGAAGGCCGGCATCGGCAAGTTTGGAGGGTACAGGGCAAGATGGTGGGGCAGGGGCAGGGTACATTCTCCCCACCTGCTACCACACCGGGATTGCACAGTCACTCGGTGCATGGATTTCTGCCCCATGGAACTTGGCAGGGGGAAGCTCTAGGAACTGTCTCAAACACATGCACCTTGCAAATTTCTGTCATCTCCAAATTGGTATTCAGTCCCTGTTACTGGATAAGTTTAATGAAAGTGGTACTTTCTGTGAGGTCCCTGGTGGCATTAGTTCACATTACAAAATCATTATACATAATGTGACACTATTGTGTGTCGTTAGCTTAGGGAAAAAAGCCTGTTTTACAGCTCTTGGGGACAGAGGTCCCTCCAGATAAGGTTGGGCTTCCGAGAGAAGGAAGGAACAACTCCCTCTGATTAATAATGAGAAGGTGAACATTCCAGGCAGCTACTTCCTTTCCACTCAGCAAGACAGATGCATAGTCCCAGGGGAGGAAATAGCCAAATAACCAGCTGAAGTAGTCAGTGGGTTGGACCCTAACACTCCCAGGACACTCGGCCCCTCCGTACTTCACAGGTCTCTTCCAACACCGCCAATATCCAAGATGCTTCCTTCTGGCACATCCTGCTCTGGTATTTGGCACAACTTGCTGCATAGTGTTCCGGGCGGTTCCACATTGCCCACACAGAGCCATAAATTCTATGGTCTATACAAGTGAAACCTCACAAGTTATTAGAACTTAGCATACTTACATGATAGTTGGTAAGTAGCCTGGGTCACTGGGTCCTTTGCCTACTTCCTGATAGTCTTTCCCCAGGACCTGCCAATGTCCCTGTGACCTGCAACTTAAAGCCCAAGTGATAACCATCTAAAAATCTAAAAGTCCATGTGATGAAGCTGTAATGGCTCATGTGACTATCAGGAGGTAAGGCCTCTCCAGAGACCAATAAAGTCAATGAGGTCACGGGAGGGGGGACAATTAAATAAACTGATCTATTAATAAATAAATAATAAATGGGACACATGAAGAGGCATCAGAGGTCTGGGTCTGACCCACAGAAAGAAACTCAAGTGAAGACATGGCATCCCTCTTCTCTCTCTCTCACCCTCACAGAGGCTCCTTTGGTTCAGAGTGACCTCTTTCATAGCGCCCGCTTAGACCACTCCCACACCATGCTGCAAGCTGAGAACAGCCTCCCCAGAAGCC